CCATTTTGAAGCAGTCCTTGCCCTTGGCCTCTAAACATTCAGCTGTCGTCATATTTCTCCCCACTCTGCTTGCCCCTTCTCGCTCTTTTGTTAGGCGCTGGCTCTTCAACATGGGCCCTTCCATCACAGGCCCTGCTCCTGACGTTTGGATCCACAGCTCCTGCCTCTCGGACCTCTCCATGTAGCTGTCTTTCAGGCACAAGGACTTAGGATTGTTCTTCCACCTCTGGCTGCCCCAAACTCCCTGTTGCAGGGTCGGCACATGGCTCTGCACCCCCCGACCCCAGAGCCACCTTGATCAGCTCTTACTCTTTCCTTCTCTCCCTGTAACCGACATACATAAATGCCAAGGTGTCTGCTCCTCTCCAAATGGGCCCACTTTCCCTGCACACTGCCTCTGCCTCCTTACTTGGCTCCTGCTTGTAAGGTTCTAGAGATTACTTCCTGCAGGAAACTGTTACTGAACCTAGGATTATTTGTCTTCCTTGTGTGTTCTTCTCCTAAATTCAGATTTCTGCAACACCATGCTTAACTCCCTGGGCCCTAAATGCCTGCCCGCTTCCCGCTCCCGAGACCACGAAGGTCTCGAGGTCAGCCTGTCTCTTCCTGCGTGCCTAGCCAGCCATCCTTCCTTGTCCCTTACAGGGAGACTTGGCTTGACGCTCCTTTGTGGCTCACTCCGCTTTGCCTTCCATTGATACCCGTGCTCCTTATCTCTTTACAAGAGGCAGCTTCTCCAGGTGAGCTAATCCTTGTTCATATGCCAAACAGGAACTCGAGGCTGGGGGCCTCTTTGTGTGATGATGATAATTTTGGCAACGATATAATGGGATAAACTGCCTTGTTCACCTAAGCCAGAAGCAAGGGACATGGACAGGGGAGAAGGAAAGGAAATCTCCAGAGAGCTGCATGGAGCAAAACCAGCCTTGTTGTAAAAGGCACTGCTTTTATCTTCTCTTGATCCCTGAGCAAATGCTTTGGTTCTTGCCTCTTATTAAATCCTGATATTCCCAGAAGAATCGAGAGAGGCGTGTCCCACTGAGTATCTATGGACTCCATCTCTCATCCTTGTTGCCACGGCAGCTTCCACCCGGTGTCCATGATGCCAGCAACCCTGTGTAGCTAGCTGTGAGGAAGAACCTTATGTCTCACCCACAGCTCCAGCCCGTTCTGTGGTCCAGTGGATATGCCAGTGGCTGGATGGACGATAAAGCAAAGTTTGCAAATTCCCAGATCACTGCTGTCACCAGCAATCTAGAATCTTTCTCTGTGCATTTTAGAGCACGTATTTTTTTCTATCTACTTGTCGTATCAAAAGACAGACGATTTCCCCTGGAAATCACTACATATAGAAAACTCAAAAACATGAAAAGTTGCAAGAAAATGTAGGGACCATCAACTTGTTATGAAAGATGAATATAAAATATGTTGGAAATTTATAATTTTTAAAAACACCATTAAAACTTCATGGAAATCATATATTATTTGCCTTCTCTCAGTGGCTCCCCATTGCCCTTTTTTCTTAAAGGAGAAAAATGCTTTAAAACAACTTTAAAGTTCAGAACTAATTAACAAGATAAATCCATGGCGTGGAAGATGGCACCTTCGTGACAGAGAGGAATTAATTTTAGGTACCACTGCTGCAATTCTGTGTCATGTTCACACAATGAGACTTTTTTCTGAATTGATAAATTAGAGCTGGGCTGATTATCAAAGATATCACTTTAAAGTCTTGAACAAACTATTTCTTAACACATATGATGTTAAATTATTTTATATAAATCATGTTTTCCTACACAACATAATTTAATTGTATTTAATATATAATTTATAGTAAATATTATATTCTATTTTTATAATGTGTAATAGCAAATAAAATCAAACTTTGCCACACCTTAGCTTGAAAAACAAACTTAGAATGAAAAATTTCAAATATCAGGTATTTGTAAACTACTGCCATTAAAATGTAAAAGTTAAAAGGAAACTATAAAAAAAATGTGCATAGGCCGGGGATTTAGCTTAGCGGTTCGGTGGCCTGCCTCGCAAGTGCAAGGACCTGAGTTTGATCCCCGGTACCAAAAAAAATTTTTAAAAAATAAAATAAATGTGGATAAAGCATGGCCTCTACTTAAAAATAACATATCAAGTGATAGATGGCCACTAATTGTGTGTGGGCAAATCTAACTATATTTTCCTGTTTAACCTCACAGAAAAGAGAGGAAGGAGCATTTGTATATCTTTATAAACAACAGGCCACACCAACACTGTTACCTTATGGGGGGGTAGAATGGCAAAGAGAGTTAGTCCTACATAGGCCGAAGTAAGGCAGCAGAGTGAAAACTTGCTTTGTTTTGGCACATTTTACATTTAGGCAAAATCTAATGACAAAACCGATCTGCTCTGGAAGTGTTTGGGGACACTTTTAATAATGACACAATGGTCCTCTGCTTTACAAGATCTGTGATGCGCTTTCCTCCTCAGAGTTAAGGGGTTTGCAGCCTCGTAGGACAGGGCAAAAATAGTGTGGCCCAGAAAGTGCCCCAGGATTTCTACTGCATTACTGGATTACAGCAGTTGTTGGAGAGAGAGGCTCCATCCACCAGAATGGCCTTGCCGGATCTCATCTTGTGTTCCATCAACGCCATCTTCTCCTGGCTCTGGGCCGGATGCAGCTCCGGAATCTTGCTAATCCCTCAGCTGTCTTCACTGAGTCTTGAGCTCTCCCCCATGAGACCCTCTACTGTTGGCCTGTGACCCTCTGATTTGCAGTGTACACTGCATGCCTCACAACCCAGGTGTCGCCAGCTCTTCAGTGACGCCTCCCCCAGGAGCCCCAGGGACAACTCCCCACCCCTCATCTGCCACTTCTCTTACCTCACCATTGAGTCCACCCGTGTGATGCCGTGCACCGTGTCCCTACACACATCTCCCTGCAACCTGGCCCGTCCCATTTCCTGCTGCTAACAATGCCTGGCACACAGAAGGTGCTCTCTAAATGTCTTTTCTGCAAATTAGTGATTCACAAGAGACAGCCTGCAGCATGCGTATAGGTTCTACTTTTTATACTCTCGGAAAGGGTTTTGAAAATAGTGTTAGGTATTTCCAACACATTCCCTTACCATAAATGTTTTTGGCATTTAAGTCAGCTTGAGTTTGGATTATGGCATTTATGATTGAAGAGTTAATTATCTATATCTTCATAGCTCATATGCTATTCAGAAACAATTACTTTAAAGCAGTGAATCCAACTCTCTAAATGCATCTTCTTCCCCATCCTTGTTGAGTTTCTGTGTAGTCTTTCCATGAATGATACATTTTGTTGAGTGGAAATTCTGCTAGGTTTTTATTACAGTACTGGGTGTGTGTGTGTGTGTGTGTGTGTGTGTGTGTGATAGGAAGTGGGGTTCGGGGGTCACACAGGATGTGGACAGAGGCACATTCATCAAGGAGCACCCTCAGATGGGCCATCCCAACAGGCACACTCATCTCCAGATTCTCCACCTCAGGCATCCGACACACACTGCAGACTTCCCACCCTCCGTCCCTTGCTTTTGAGTGAGCTGATACGAATGCAACGGTGTGTGCCAGCTCAGAGGGCATTGCAATGTGCTGGAGCACTGATAGTCAAATCTGTGCCCAAAGTCCCTTACTCCAGTATTTTTAACACGATGCTCTGTATCGTAATGTCAATAGCAACCACATTATTCTTGGTTAAATGGGGTGCTGTTGACAACTTGCCTTTGTGACTAAACTGTCCCAGAGCCCAACTCTCATTGTGTTTGTGTACTATCAGCTTAACACAAGCAAAAACCTCCAAAGTCTGCTGAATACACCCACCTTCTACATGTAGATCTCCCCCAAATAAATGGTTGAATTCCCACTCTTTCATGACTGTGACTTAATCTCTACATTTCTGTAAGTCACCACACTTTGTCACTGGTGACAGAGTTTTTTTAAATGGAAAAATGATATGTAAAGTATTGGGGAAATTTACCATGGGAGAAACATGGTGCTGCTTGCAAGCATAAATTATTCTATTATTAGCCAAAAGTAATTTTTAGAAAAAATAAAGCATTTTATTTTATGTACTTTTAAATTTAGTCATTCTTATACTGTAAGCCACCAGCACATTCAACTTATATTTCTTTTTTTTTCCATTAAGTTTAAAGCAAGTAATTAAGGAAATCATGCCCCCGTTTTCTCATCCTTCATGCCACTGTCCATTAAAATGTGTCAAGTGTATCCAGTAAGAGGATAGAAAGGTAACTACTGGTTAGCAACCTGCTTTTGTGGCATCAATAGCTTCATTTTTGTGTTCCTCTTTTCATTTAAAAATACTGATCTAGTCATCTTGTACAAGACTTCTCAATGCTGGTGAAAATACACATTTCAGAGGACTTCATTAAGCCAAGTAACAGGATTTGTGCTTACATGATTAAGAAGGTATAGAAGCTTTTAGAAAAAGAAAACCTAATTAAGATGGTGCTTGTACAATTCAAGAAGCTCTAATAATTAAACAGATTGTGATAGGTCCTATGAGAGAGCTACGCAAATATGAGGCAGTGTTTTTAGGAGTCAGTAAGATTTTTTTTTTTTTAGAGTCAGTTACATACGATGCAACTGGTGAGCGTTGCAGGTTGTAAACATTCAGGATGCCCTGCCTATTCAATATAAACTGCAGTAAAGGAATGTTATTGTGCTTTTTTTTTTTTAACCTTTGTGCAACGTATCTGTACTACAGTTTCGGAAGTTAGCAGCAAGCTGTCACTCCTGCAACTTGCATTCTTGGTGACAAGCTGTTTTCCATCACAGTAAGTAAGTCATGGTCACGTTTGCCAATCAGCCTGTGGCACACAGAGAACCCCCGCAAAGCTCCACTGGGACGGCCCTGCCTGCGCCCCTCCCTACAGGCGCTCTGAAACCTGCCCACAGCATTCCAAAACGTACCCCACTCACACTGTGTTTGAAAAATTACACGTGCAGCAAAAAGTTTGGTAAAAATATATTTAAAATAAGCAAGAAAAAATAGTTTTGGCCTTAAAGATAACTGTCATCATGGTCTCCACCAGGTAGAGTCAACTTATATGGGTAATGATTTCAAGTACGAACTTATAAAAGATGTGACAAATCAGAACAACAAAGAACAAGAGGACTCTTTTTTCAGAAAAATGTATTTGCAATTCAAATGTTCATATAAAAAGCATAAATTTTAAAAAGTTCATAGATGTATGTTTTGTAGAAGTGCTATGGTTTCACCATTCATTGCAATTACATTCCAAAATGTGCGGGGTGGTGCACACGGTGTCGCTGTGCTCGTCCGTCACACGGAAGTCACTCTCATCACGACCTCCCCCGAGCTGTTATCTTCTGACAAATCTTCGTGGGGCCTTATCCGATTGAACAGGTGGAGTAGCACGTAGCCGCACTGAAACCTCGGGGAGGTCAGCTGCGTTGGGTGGACCAAGTTTCTGTTCCGCAGAGCCGTCAAGGGCAACCATAAAGTCCTACTTGTGGAAGACTCTCCCCGGCTGCTCTCTTCGATGTCTGTGGCTTTGTCGTAATTTAATACATCCCAGTGCAAGTTAACGGCTCTCCAGCGCTTAAACACTCTGTAAACTGCAGCTCCTTCATGGACAATGAGGCCTAAAGTTCAAGTGAAAGAAAGATTGGTGACAATCAAAAGGTAGGAAAGTTGTGCTGCAGAAAAGTGAGGGGTTCAAGAAATAATCAATTCTGGGGCCGGGGATTTAGCTCAGTGGTTTTGCCACCTGCCGCGCAAGAACAAAGACGATAGTCTTCACCGTCAAAGAACAGAGAACTCGCACATCTGTAATCCCAGCACTCAGGAGGCTGAGTCAGGAGGATCACTGTGAGTTCGAGATCAGCCTAGGCTACATGGTGAGTTCCAGGTCAGTCTCAACTACATAGTGAGACCCTGTCTCAAAAGGCAAAAAA